ACATGTTGGGGGTACCCCTCGGTCTCATTTCTTGCTGGGTATAGGGTAGTACGAAGTACCCACGAATTAATCTTGTTCCTTGAACAGATTGCTCTTCCAACTTAAGGACTTGTGGCTGGGAATCAGTCTACTTGCGAACATTTAGGCGGTGCGGAAATAGAGGGCGCTGTTTTGAAAAAAATGAGGAAAAAAGGGAAAAAAATTGACGCGCATGTTCAAAATCGACGCGCGCGTTTACCAGAGACCGACTTTTTTTGGCCTTACATTGAGTGCAATCCAGTCACGTGGGTGAAAAAGGTCTATAGTCATGTCCTATGGATTGGCCATCGGATCAGTTTCATGAAACATGAACAAAACAGTTGCAGGTTGGACACTATACTGACTTTTGCAAGCCTAACAGAATCTATTTACGCAGGGTTTGACCAACTTTGCTGGAAAGTCCAGTGCCACAGCTCTACATAGAGGGCCAACTTGTTTCACACAAATCTGGATCTTGATGAGTGATCCCATCGCTGGTTCGCTCCATCCATTAGGCGGGTTTTGGTGTTGGTGAACCAATGACGGGTCACTGATCGCCGGATCTGCGTGAAGCTGGCTCAGAGAGACACCACCAGCATCAGGGGGCACCCTCGTAAGTAGGCCAAAAATATGTCCGCCGAGCTCATTAATAAAAGTTATAAACTCAAAATATTCTATATTATAGAGTCATGAGAGCTATGGATTTAGGGAATAAAAAAATTATGAACCTCTGGCCCGGAATCAGGGCTTTGATTGCAATGCAATCAGGTCAGAAAGGGGCACTATTTAGCCATTTTGCAGAGGGGTGCATTTTCAAAATTGCCAATTTTCCGGGCAGTGAAATATCATTCATTGTAGGAGTGGTCTGCTTTGGGTGAGAATTTCTCAAAAATTTATCGGTCAACCCACTAAAAATTGAAATGAAAATGAAAGAGGACATGTCAAACATCATTTTGCTGTCCAGCTTGAACACCTGTGAGAGTTGTATGTTTAAAATGATTTTGAAATTAAATGATTTATCATTGTTGTCTATTGGAATTTATATGCAAGGGTACACCCCTCAGAGTTTGGAAACAAAATGGCTGGACATTATGAGCAGCAGTAGAGCGTGCGGCATTGTGTACCAACTATCCCTATGCACTGGCGCACACACCCGCCAGTTTCTTGAAGTGCGCCCGCATACGGCGACACGGCGGCATGGTTCAGCAATGCGGTCTGCCTTGACAATCTGGCTAGAGTTTGGAGGTCACTGTGTTTCATGAACATGAACTATTTCCTTGTGTGTGTTAAAGTAGTCGTTGATGTCGGGTTTGCCTCTTTGTAAGGCTCGAGAAAATGTTTTTCAAAAACCACCCAAATACTCTTACACTAAGATAACCAAATGTTACTTCATTATACGGATGCACCCGACTGTGATGGGATTGCATGAAGGAAGTACGTTATCATCGATTTCAACTTTTCCTCCCCAACATGAAAAAACTTTTAAGGTTAGCCACTTTAATCCGGAAGTCAGGTCATTTGTGGGCATAGTCGTCCGGAAACGGGCGTTGCTAAGGGAAGTGATGTCAGAGATGTCACCTGGTCGCTGAACGTATTATCATTTCCACAGTGCGTTGTGTACCTTGAGCTATATTCGGGACTTGTGGAAGTTGGCCAGCCAAGAGTTTTGTTTTGACATAAAATAAACTAAACAGAGGCCCTGGCCAAAGAAATAAACAAAAGAAAGAGAATGATGGAGTGGAGTAAAGTTGTAAATATTATCGTCTCAAAGCAGGTCTCTTCTCTATGATGACGTCATTGGAACATTGATACCTCAAAACATTTTGATTACAATCCCGTCTAGACACTCAGTGTTTTTGGACACGGGACACTCAGCTAACACGATGCTCCTTAGCCTATTTTACAAACAAATGACCCATGGAGTGAGGGCTGATATTGTGGTAAACATAAAACTTGAACTGCAGTTGACACGTCGAAAACCTCATTGCAAGATTTAATACCGATGATCGGCCCCACACACGGATACTGTAAAGGGCGATATCAATTAATCTAAAAATAGAATACTGTCTGGTGCTTATGACAGAGGAGGCAACAATCAAATTTAAAGGCTAATTGATCGGCATAATTCAGCAGTAATGCCTCTTTTCACGAATGATTGTATTCGAAAAAACGCTTGTATTGCCCAAATCGCCCTAGCCGTCACGTGCCATGTCTTTCATCGAAGCTATAGACTTTATTCACGGGGCCGGCCATATTGAATTTGAAGCGAGGTTAACTCTTCATTTTTTAATGTTGAGAGTACAAATGAAGCATTAAAATGAGATTTCTTGACCAATGTCCACCTGTCTACTCCGATGAATAATTTTAAATTCATGATTGAACACACAGAATTGTACCTTGCCAGATTCCAAAATTATTGAAAGGGGGGCTTGGAACGCACGGAAGTATAAACAGTCTGGTGACATCCTAATCGACAGTTTGCAATATATACAACAGATTTGGGGGATAAGATAAAAAATGGCCTCCACGTGAATAGGGTCTATTGCATGCTGGGAACTATGTTTAGTGCCACACCCACAATTAAAACCAAGGATGGATCTAGAACTAAATTTTCGGGGGGAGGGGGCAACGTGTTTTCGAGGGGCCAACACACTGTGAATTTTTTCCGTGTAATCTTTTATGGCCTTTCTGAGGGATGTGGCTACATTTTAGGGCTGTTTTACTCTTTAAGGGGGAAGAGAACTGAAAAAGACAGAAAAACTACGCCTTCCTTTTATTAGTAAAAAATATTGGCTCTTTTTTTATGGGAGCCTTGGTCTTTGTTGGTCCCCTGCACGGATCCACCCTGGCAAAAATCATCCAGTATTTTGGCTGATATCAAGTGGAAAAGTTAAACTTAAAATGCTGGTGGTTTTACACAACGATGCCTAATTCTAAATGAAAACAGTATAGTTAATTATTCTTACAGGCAATTTGCACGGCTATTTACAAATTGCATCTGCTTGTTCTATTTATTAATCAAGTAGTTCAGACATACAGACAAGAACTAGATACATTTCGGGCTTATGTGTATGAACGGTTGTTTACATATCTTGCGCATTTTGGGTACAGAGACGGTGTGGATTGGTCAAAAGCTAATGCACTTAATTAAACGCTATGAATGTTTGCAACTCCATTGGAGGAGCTGCTCAGCCGCTGCGCAAAAGGTGGATAAAAAACGACATCTGCGCAATGCGGGTCACCAAGGGTTGTTTCCCTTTCATCAACTTGACCCCGATGAAAGAAGGCAGACCCCAATATCGCTGGAAATTGTCTTTGCTTTTACGCACCGTGTGGAAATAATTCGCTGGCTGGGCTGTACCGCACCTACGCACCATGACCTTCGCTTTCCTTTCAAAGGAGCCTGTCAACCAGGAAGTACAAGTTTGAGAAATTCCGTCTATCGCTACTCTAGCGGAGATATGGTTTATCATTGGTCCATCCAATTCACATCCTGCATTCCAGAAACCGACTGCAATCGGCATTACACAACATTTTTTCTTTGTGGAAAGTGAACGTCAGTATTCATCCAGTGAATCGTGACGGCTTCCGGCAGTGTCAAAGCGATACATCATTTGAGTTACTCCTTTTTTCTTTGGAGGGCACGCAGTCACGGTGCACTCGCCTGAGAATTAAAAGGATCGACTGCTCAGCTCTGCTCAAATTTGTAGACGGAAGGTCTGCAAATTTGAATAACAATCAGGTAAGGTACATTGTGGATTTGACGGTACTGTTTTACATTCCAGCTTTTTCAGACTGAATAGGTCGGCGGCACACACCGTGTCCTCAGGGCTCCTCGCCAGGCCTGGCTTGGTGAAAGTTAGGGGCCGTCCCTCCAGTCGGGCTGTGGTTGAACTGCGGTGAGCGGAGATCGTGTCCTTATCAGAGCTTTTTAATCACTCCAATATGACTACAGACTGTCATAGTATTTGAGTATATTGCAACTTGGTATAGAAATAAGTTAGGGCCAATAGGGGCCTTATACTAAAAGGAAAATACTTAATCAGAAATAAACGTATAAAGTAAAGTTAATCAAATTCAGAGATTGTTTAGGACAAAAACTGCGTAAAGATTGTGGACTTTTCCTCTGTTGATACATGTTTTAACAACATTCTTAACTTCTGTTTGCTGCAGTATTTGCAGTATTTATCATTAGCCTTTCCAAATATTCAATCTCTCTTTGATTTAAAGGAAGCATGGAACAGTAAAAAAAATTTCAAATAATGTAACCCTGTATCGATAGTTCATCATGGAGAAATAAAACGTCTGTCATGGGTTTGTAGAAACTTCATTCCCCAATTACTCGAGAGACAAGAGCAAGATGTCACAAGTCTAGTTTGGAGAATCTTGTAGTTTTCATGGTGGGTAGAAGCCACCACACTTGTTGATACTTGAAAAGTAACAAGGAGGTAGAAACATAACGGTCGAGCAATGGCAAAGCCAGTTTGCTTGTAGCTAAGCTTGATTAGTGAACCGTAAAGGGATTTACAACACATGCAGAATCTGAGTGAGCTGTAAATAAGTCCGGGCTCCATGCGATTGTATGCTATGCGTGTGTCAGGCTGCAAGCGCGGGCCAGTGAATTGGGAACCTCTTCAAATCTACGTTTTTGTGTTTTTCTGGCGGGGAAAATGATGAACCGAGTGCCAACCATCTTGGTGTCAGAATCAAGGTAAAACAGTTTTGTACCAGGTAGCATTTTGGGAGCACCGGCATGTTGGGAATGAGTCAAAATCTAAGGATAATTTGGGACTAAGATTAGCTGAAGTCTTGTACCCCTTGCCCCCCATGCGGTTAAGGGTCAAGGTAGCCAGGGTGGTACGCACGCCGTGCCTGGGACGCGTTAACCCCACGGGGTGTCCGGGTCGCGCCCGCTCCAACAATTGGCATCGTAAAGTCTCGTTTGAGTTGGTTGCATCAGATTCGACGACAGGACATGCAGGATGTGGCATACAGTCCAGTTCCTAGTTCCTGCCAGTCATGACCGTGTCATAGCCAACACATTTCCCATCAGTCAATCGAGATATTCAGGCCCTGTGTCGAGTGAGATGAGAAAGATTTGGAGTTGGTATTTTTCATGATTTTCGAACCGGACTCATCCCTCTTATATACACGTAGATGGAGTGGATACTGTGTTCGCGTGTAGGTTGTGCAATGCTGACAAGGATCCTTTGCTTTGGTGTAATCTGAGGAGTGTCTGACTTATGATCTGTCTCAATCACATGAATGTTGGCTAGGGTGCTGTTCAACACGGCACGATTTTTTAAAACAAAGTTGCTGTACTGAGACTACACGTTCTGGCAATCAACGCTCTTGTCAGGTTCTCTGGGAGACAGAGTTAGAGCCTTTGATTCATCCATGTACATGGATGCCTTTGTCATTGTGGAAAATTATCAACCTAGTAATCTTATACTGAACCAGTTTCTGCCTCCGCCGTAAATGTACATTATCACACATGCATACCGCTTTTGGTTAAAGCTTTCTATTACTGCTTGTCTAAAGAGAGATGAAATTCCGTCTATTTGTACTGGTTTACATGTTCATGCATACACTCTACCTGTGTGTATACAATTGACATGGCTGCTTAAGTGATGCACAATGTTAGAAGCAGGATGTAGGCTTTCCTTCCGTCATTTTTGGCCAAGGTTTTCTGTACATGTACATAGCGCAGTTAATTGTAAAGTGTGATTGCTTGTGGGTGAACAGTTTTGTTTTAAACGCAGCTCGTTACACATTTTCAATGCTCGTTACTACCTGTAGGCGTATAGGTGTTTTCAAACCTCCCAAGTCTCAACTCTCTGAAATGTTCCATTTTGAAATAAAAATGTATCCAAGGCCCTTGCTGTCACAGAATTGTTCCTGGAATTATGTAATTTGGATCCAGGAAATACATCTAATGGCTCATTTATATCAGGGTGCTTTTACTGGAATTAAGGGCATCTGCTTACAAAGTGCCTCATAATTTGTAGCGTGTGACCTTCAGTTATCACAATTACATGTATAATTATTATATCAGCTATTGATTTAAGAAGTTCTCTGAAGAATTGGTCCTATGTCCCATGAAAACCTGTGCATCTTTCCTTGCAGTGAAGAAGGCTCATATTTTTGGATGGTTAGTACCTGTCTGTGTGAGACTGCCCCTAAATCATTCTTGTAGCTTGTTATTTCCCATGGGAATTTTGCTCAGGGTCACTGAATGGTAAACAGGTATGGAAAGTATGGTACCATGATTTCCTCCCCAAGGGTGAGCTACAGTTGTTTCAGGGACACATGCACTGTACATGTATATGTACACCTTATGCCTTTGTACATGTACGGTACATTGTTTTACCTGGACATTCCTGTATCAGATGCTTTGTGTACCATAATCGGGATGAAAGTGAGGCTGGACTTGCACAAGTCAAGTTTCACACCGATCATTCATTCCAACACAAGTTACTAGTCTCATATTCAGTCACATGTGGCACTACTCACATCTCAAAAGAAACGTTACCATGGCCGCATAAACTAATCTAAGGTACTTTGTTGACATTGATGCCTGTTGCTTGTGAAGAATTTGTGAATGAAAATGCTTCAGTCTGCCATGTTGAAATTGAAGTTAACTCTTCATTGAACTTGGTAGCATTAGTGAAGGAATCACATGAAGTCCCTCAACTTACCTGTCTTCAAAGATGAATGAACTGAAATGTGTGATTAAACATACGGGTACCAGTTCCTTGGTGTTTTATGCAAGATTGGAAAAAGAAAGTGAGGCCGGGAACCCACAAGAATCCTAAAATGGTCTGATACCTTCCAATTTACAAAATGCTCTAACAGTCAAAAATCCTCTGATTTCGATATGATTTTACATAAAGGGGTTAGGGTTATAATGATAGACTTGCTACATACATGTACATGTAGTGATGCCATGCCTTGTGTACATGTAAGCTGTCCTGGGGCAGTTAGATTGGGACCTGATCCATCAAATCCCCACAGAAAAGGACAACACATGTGAACAAAACGTGATGTCATTATGTTTTACGTCTCTTTATAGCTCCGATATGAGGAATTAGATCAAAACTGGCTTCGTCGGGAATAAGGTCCGTTGACTTGTACTAGTAGACGCTTGTTTTTTGGTTTGAGAATGACTTGGTATAAATTTATGATTGACTTGTGATGGACTTTTGATTTAAATGTTGTGATTGAGTTGTGGTGAGGTTTTGGTGGACTAGTGGCGAGATTTGTGGTTTCACTTTCGACAGACTTTACTGCTACACTGTTTTTCACAGGATCCGAAGCAGTTGTGAATTTAAGAACCCTTTGGAGAGGTCAATGTTTGCCAGTGCAGCCTCTCTTTGAACGAAACAATATCAAATGGAAGCCTGCTGTACATGTACCCAAAGCACCCAAGAGTACAGTAACTGAGAGAGGGAAATTATGGGCAGAAAATCCAAGCCATTATGAAATGATGCTGGAAAATGCATTATGTAGCACCATGGTGAAATAGGGTTTTGTTTTTCACTCTCTTGCAGTCACCCAATGGATAAAGTCGACACAGTGCATGTCTCTGTAGTCGAAGGCCAACAGCCTAGCAACGACATGGATGCAGATCTCCATGACAACATGCGGTCCTCTTTCATCTCAAATTCATCGAGCACATCTGGAACGTCTGAGGACTCAAACTACAGGGACTCGATCATCTCCTATTCGTCGATCGACTCCATGGACAGAAATTCTCCCGTGACTGAAGGCACCGGTAGGCGAACACTTTTAGTCCAAATAAAATGTTGACTTCCCCTTTCAGTTTATTGAGTGGCCTGAATCTTGAAATAAGAATGTAACATGAAAATATTCTATTGTGCTCATCCAAAAACGTAAAAGAGCAAACTTCTTGTGCAAAGGAATACTGCTTAGTCCTTAAATGCCACCTGTTTTTGTACTGCACTTCAACAAGCATGGCCTAAGGTCATCTTATTGTTATTGTAATTTTACATGTGTATGACTATTGTGCATTGAAATAACAGTGTTTGTTTAGTCATAGCCCCCCCCCCAATGATTTTTGAACTTTTATGCGTCATGTGAAACATTAGACCTGTGCTCAGTCATGCCACTGAATCATGCTCCATTTTTGTGAAAAGCTCAGCATGTACATGTACATGTACCTGTTTAGTTGTACCATTACACGTCAAATTTAAATTGCTTTGCTTCACAAAGTCTTTGCTGAGAGTGATCTGTGCCGAGTTGAAACGCTTCGTTGAAGCGATTTTACCTGAAGCATATATGGTTGGTGTCTTGGTGTTTCTAAGATAGCTCTCATGCCGGAATCACCCTGTCTAATGTTTGACAAAGAATGCTACATGTAGAAAACCAGATGACTTCACAGCACAACTGTAACAAGCTTGAACAGGTCTTTTTTATTAGAACAAATATGTTAACACTTGGAATAGACATGTACATGGGTAATTCCAGAAATTAAGGGTCCATTTTTTTCGTGGCCCTGTCACTTCTGACATATGATTTGTAAGTTCGGAACACATTTTCTAATTCCGAGAGTGATGAATTAATGCAAATTATCTGCCAAACAAAAAGTAATAGTTTGAAATCAATCCTGAAGATACTTCCGTGTCAAATAACAAAGGTCAGATGTAACAGGGACACAAAATTGTCACACTTTTGGGCCCATTTCTGAAATGACTCACATGTATAAATAATAACAGTCGGGTTTCTATGATCAAAGTGCTTTCCATTATGAATTTATTCTGTTTTGTTCTTTAAAGGGTGTGGCTTAGGACGAGTTGATTCCACCCGCTCAATGCCTCCAGAAAGATTGCGCACTGACTCAGATGGCTCGGAAGACGGCCAGACAATGAAAAAGTGAGTGCCCCCCCAAAATGTGAAAATTCTTATTTTTTGACATTTTGTCTAAACACCTCTTGTAACATGTATCTGGATGACTCTAGTTAACCCCTGTATTAATTAATCGAACCTTTACATGTAAGATTTCTTCTGGGTGACCACTGTACTCTCAATTTTTTAGCTAGGCAAATAATGCTCCCTCCCAATAAAGTTAATTTAGTTTTTTTTTTAAGTTTTTTTTAACTCCAAAATTCTGTTGTAATTACCACGAAGCAAGGAAATGACATGAATAGGCACAAGCTAACAAGAAATGATACTTCCCCGAAATAGTGCAGCTTTTCAATACTTTATGTTTTAACGGTGTTTCAATAATTCCAGTGAAATCAAATGCCATTGTATGCATCTGGAAAATTCTCGCACCCTGTTTACACAGTACATGTACAGTACATGTAATTGAATTTTTCACCTGTAATTCCAATTATTTTCCCATCTTTTTTTTTTCAATCAAGAAATCTTGTCTTTAAGTGGTCTAGTCATGAAACCCAAAACTCTGACTGAACCCCCTTACAGGAAAAACTTCAGTTAATTATTCATGTCCTTGTTTACATACAATGTTTATTCATGTTGACCAAGATTGGATGACCATGGTTTTTCCCCCTTACATGTACATGCCATGCCTCCTTTCTGTAAATTAGCATATGCATGCAGGTGGAGAAAGGGTTGTCTGGCAGTGGAAATGGACATGTCCAAATCTTTTATCGCTTTGCTTAGTCACATCATGGTCACATAACATGTGCATGTACAGGCAACTATTGTCATGCTTTTCTGAGAACCCAATGCACGTACATGTGCAATGCATTTGCACCAACCCATGACACTACTGCAGTGCTAGGCTTGGTGTAGATAGATATACCAGCAAGGCAAGCACAATGCCTTAGTAGGCCATGGTAGAGCACATCTGTTGTTTTTCCTGTTGTTTACCAATTACTAGTACATGTAGCCTTCCAGTTCATGTAGGCCTATGCAGTTTTTTCCCCCAAGCAAAATTCTGCCATCACAAGGAAATCAGGAAGTGGAAAAAAGACAGAAAAAAAATGTACCCAGGTCGCAGCTGTTTGTCAATGTCAAACTTGTGACCCCCTCTTTTCAGATGAGGGTTTTGGTAACTTATAAAACCCCATGCCACAAGGGTGCTAAAATGGCCCAATTAGAATATGAATGGGTGTGGTGTGCACTGCATCTACAACATGTACATGTACATGTACAGTAGTTTGCATGCAGCACTACCCTACTGGTGTTGACAAGAGGAATTTTTTCACTCTAGGTCAAGTACACATAAGTATGTTTGCTGGTATTACTCAGTACAGGAATATTACAGGTGGCCACTGTTCGTTTAGCCGTGTGAAATAGAAAACCTTGGAATTGCTCATAAATTACGCGGTAGCTGTTGAAAGGTACATGTAACAGTTCTCAAGTTTTGTTCAAATAGGTTTCTGACACGTTTACAAAACAAACTGAATTGTGGTGTTCAACCTCTGTATACATGTATGTACATGTAGGCACAGGACCATGTACTGGTACATCAGGGTTCACATGTGCATATTGAGTTTTACACATGTCTTAAGAGAGCCATGGGAGGGGGGGGGAACTGTGA